CCTTGTGCCTTCGAGCGAGCGTAACGCGGTTGACACCATACTTTTTCGCGATTTGTTGGTACGAGAATTTATCTCCTGGTTCGCGCGATTCGATTTCTGCAATCGCTTCTTGAATCGGATCCATGGTGGTTGAGCTATGACGCGTTGAAGTTGTGTTGTTGTTGAAGTGGGGGTGTTCATCGAATGATGATGTTCATCGAACGCACGGGCATTGTAGGTAGGTAGCATCAACAGCGAGCGCGCCTCTCTCACTCAATTGCCACTGAACCGCCTTGCCGTGCTCCGTGCAGGCGTGATTCCGATGCCGATGAGAACTGCGCCCAGAGAGGTGCCTTTGAAGATGCTCTCGTACTGTTCAATCTTCAGACGCGTCGAGTAGGGCTGGCGTCTGATGCGAAGAAATGTCGCTCCTGTGACGGCAAGCCACGCACCGAAAAGAATCTCGTAACGATACTTTTCCACCACGGTTTCCGAGGCGTTACCAGGCATTGTACTGAGGCGGTCGACCAAAAGCAAAGGTGGAAAATGCAACCAAGGTTGCAGGATTGGGCGGGAGACGTCTTGTTAACTAGGACGAGCTTCATGACGTCGTCGGCACACCATCACGCGCTCGCCACCGCCATATGCATCACACCAGCCCTCAGACCACTACAATCCCACTGAGAAGCATCGTGCCCAGATTCACCATGGTTTTCGTAAATACACCGCCATTTACTCTTTTCCTCTTACTAACCATATGTCTAAGACGAAACTTACCTACCATTGTCAATTTACTGTGCAGCCGTCGCATCGCTTTGTCCACGCTCACTTCCCCTTGTCAGGGCTTATCACGGGATTACCATCACTCTAACTACTCAACAGTCAAGATCAGATCAACCATCATGAGTACGCTAGACAAGGCAGGTCTCAATCGCAGCCTAATCGTATAAATTCTCATTGCTGTAATAGCAGTACTAATGGTGCTCGTCATCGCCTTTGGAAGCGGAACGGCCTGTGGAGGCTGAGTTGGGCATTTCATAGTAACGGCTTTGTTTCTTGATGCATTCTGCAAACAAAGGTAATTACTCGACTAACTACAGCAGTCGTCTCGCCTTGGAACACGATACCGTTCAGTCATCTAGCTCGACGTCACCTCTATAAATTCGATTTTTGCTTGAAACCATCATAATGTCAGCATCAAAACTCACATCAGGCGCAAACAAGACCGCCTCGTTTGACACAGATATTGGATCCCTGCCTTCAACATCCGACGACTTCCAACCTCGAGTCGTATCCGAACGAACATTCATTATCGTCACTTCCGTGCTAGCTGCCACACTCATCTTGACCATCCTTATTGGATGCATACACTTCATTCGCCGACGACGCCGGCGGCAACATGGCAAGGATCGCGAACAACAAGATATTGAACAAAGTCTACAACGAGCTCGGAGGCCAATACTCACCATAGATACTGATCTATCACACGCAAAAGATTTGACTAGGCCTGCAATCAGAGCCACCTTACCGTATTTGCCCGGGTACAGTGAGGTACCATCTGCGTCGTTGGTTCAGGTCAGGACTGCTCCTCCAAGCATCCATAGCTCTGGAGTAAGTGCTTTCGGCCCAGTAAGATTCCATAGCGCCAGCAGAAATTCTTTAAACTCACATCTGCCTGGTGTCTCTGGCAGGAATACGATAATGCCTGTGCGTCAAGGCACTACATTCCAAGAGATGAACTTCAGAGAGTGCACACAGACCCATAACCCGTATGATTTGGGACTCGACCGCTACACGTAGATCAGTGGGATTATTCTACAAGTCGGCTGCTGATAGCACTTTGTGTGCTCACTTCCCTTGATTCCCTACACATTGTTGTTGTTCCTAACCTCGACTACAACTTATCTTCAAGTTCTCCTCCGGACTATCGACACTTTTACGACAGCTGAATTCGTAGACCCAGCTCTTCTCAAAAACAATATTTACATATGACCTTGACTTATCCGGATATTGTGGCTACTGTGTCGGGCACACTGCTATTAGTCATCGGTTTAATCTGGTACTTCGTCCGCCCAGTCAGCCGATTCACATTTTCACGCCGGAGATGTCCATTGGCTATACGAGACGAAGAGAATCAACAATTTTTCACATCCAGTAATCGCCTCTCCAGTATCAGTACTTTCGAAACTATTGGTAATCTTACAATCTCTCCAGATCGCCGCCCTCTTCCCTCAGCACTAGACATCATCAATCATGTAGGGATGGCTATTGGTCTACCAGCAAGCGCAAAGCCAGTGAGATTGAAAGACGTTCCAAGGGTCTCCTTACATCTACCACCTGTGACGCCTATGACCCCGACAACAAAAGTCAACATCGTTATGATGGAAGCTGAAGCCAAAGCTGGATCCCTCCACACCAGCAGCGATGCTGTGCTCAACACAGCTACCTCGGGTCGAGCATATTTTGTACATCTTGGAACTGCTCCTCAAGCACGGAATATCGAGAACCAAGCTGATGTTACTTCGCGACGTGGGGAACCTACTATTGCCATGAAAAATCATAACTTCGACCTTGGTCTGGAGACCTGTTTGGATGAGCCCTTGGAGGAAATCCAGGATGTCTTTGTCATTGGTCATGATGACGATAATGAGCCTGAACAAGTTAATCTTGCAGATTACAAGATGGCTTATGGCTTTGGATCAGGTAGATCTATAGCAGCGCTCTATCATGCAGTGTAAGTTAGAATATACAAGCGTAACATCACAACACCAGGAGCTTTTGCAATGAGTCGCTGCCTATCTATTTGACGTTTTTTATGTCGTTGAGAGGTAGTTTGAACAATCCTCGCAGGAAATGTCTGTATTGTCACAACCTCTTTCTTGGCCCGTGGCGTGTGCTTGTTTCTCGCTACCTCTTTGATGAATTGTGTGACATTAAAGAAGACGCCATGAGCGCTCGGCAAGTGTTCCAGCCCACCCAGACATAACTTCCAGTCACGAATATCTGGTCTGGTTATCCGCCTCAGTGGAAACAAGATGCGAGCTGCTGGAGGCAAAGCCCTCCAAAAACAGGGCTGGGATACGGAGAGATGCTTGGCGATAGATCTGGGCCATGCTGGTTCGGGGAAGAACTGGTGCGCTTAGTCAGCCAGTGCTCGACGCGTTGACGCGTCTGTCTCTCCAGCCACCACTTATTCTTTTTACTTCTCAATGGTCCTCTTTCGATTACTATCTGCTCCAACGCGGTCATGGTGATCCTCTCCGTGCACTTGGACCCGCACTCGATAAGACTTGGTCCGCATTCAAATCTCACTTGGCGTGCGTAACAGAGGATTGTTCAGTACTGCGGCTTCATACCAGCTGTCTCTGTGCTTGTCATAGAGAGTGCGGAGTCGGTACGCGTGCCATGAATTCAAATTCAATACCTGATGATGCTTTACGCATCCTTATCGACGAGCCCATAATTAGCGTTGGAGCCTCGAAAGGTATCCTGGCTCCAGCCCGCAGTTTTCGGATGCATGCGCTTCTGGATCCCGATAACCGCCACTCCAGTTTTTCAGGCACTGTTCGCATTTGTACTTTGGAGAACCATGTACAGTTTGGTGTCACAGCTTTGGCATTGTTCATTATCACTGGCTGGTGTCTCCAAAGGTCATGTTTCAAGATCGTCGCATCACCGGAAGGCCCGTCGCGGGATGATCACATCTGCTAGGACAACCCGGGAGACAGGTGAGGCTCCTCTACGAAGCTGTTTTACCGTTCCTTCAGCACCCTGTGAACCTTGGAGACATGGTCATAGCTGTGATTGGGTTGTTCGACCATGATGGTTCATAATTGACACCTACTTAGAATATTATCGTTCCTAGTGTGTCTCCAGTGTTCACCGAAATCGTATTCCCGTCCGCCTCAGCCAGTCTTTGCAGAACATTGTAATGCAGAAAAGAGGCTCCGACACAGAATTCGCGTTCCTGACATGCCGCACGCGCGACATGGAGCTGGCGTGTTTCTAGCGTTTCTAGTTCCACGTCTAGGATGTTTCGAAAACGCCCTCCCGGACAGCATTACCATGTCGGCCGTGCTCGACATATAGCACCGTTGTGGCTCTTGGCTAATTGCCTACTTCTGTTCTTTCAAGTGAGCGTTGTGGCAGGCCACCGCCATTGATACTTTCGCGCTTTGGTTCCTTTTTGTACATGTCGTTGAGATACCCCACTACTATCTTGTAATAATGTTTTCGTTTGCTTCTGGAAGGCCGGTCTGGCACCTGCTAGCATGTTTTGCGACACTCTTTATGCTTTATTCGTCGGCCGCCTACTGGTTCAGCACGCAGATAACGATCGCGAGCGAGCGATATCCAGACAGTCTCACGGCGATCTTCACGCCTCAAACTATCGATGCGCTCAACCAAGACGTACGCTTACATGACGCACTGCTGTCGCTCACGGACGCTATTGCATACTCGTCCAGTGATATCGGTAGACGATTTCGCTTGGAAAGTCTGAAAAGTTTCGGGTCCAATCTAACGGACGGAGTCAACAACCTTCGCAATAAGCATCGGCTAGAGTTAAAAAGGCGGGATCTGAAAGATGACCTAAGGGGGGCCTTCCGAGATTTGACAGGTGGTGCTGTTAGCATAGGCGGGTTGAATATGACAGGTGGGGTGACGGGTGTACTGGGCAGTCTAGGAGACTTGATGGTTGGCTCACTTGGAACGCCTGCTTTGTTTCTGGGTATCGGCCTAGGGTACGTATGCGTCCGGATCATTGAGTAAGACTGACCATCTACAGCATGGGTACAACGACTGCTCTTAATCTGACCAACATGGACGAAGCCAACGCGATAGCTTCGAACATTGCAACCGCATACAACGCTTCAGCAACAGGTGCGAACCTTGCTGCTCAACAACTCGGTAGCGGGCTATCTAGACAGATTACTCCCTCGTTCGGCAGCAACAACATCTCTCTTGGTCCTGCGGCTTTTGCGCTAGCATCTGGTATCGGAAATGCAACTGCAGTGGGCTTTGGATTGACACAGCAACGATTTACGCCATCGACAGACTCGAGCATTGAGGGCGTAGCTGGAAATTTCGGTCTTGGGGTTGCTATGCCCATCATATCCAACCTTGATCTTCAAGCCATGGTTAGGAGCTTGAGGAATAGCTCTAGTTTCTCCATGCTGACACAAAAGCTTCCTGAGCTTGCTGCAGCTGCAGGGCTAGGTATAGGAGAGGGCGCAAGGAACGGCCTGGGGTTAACCGCGTCGAAGTCGCCAGCGCCCGAAAACCGGAAGCGACAATTAGAGAATACTGTCATGGAAACGACGAACTTTCCTAGAACTGTGCAAGCTTTCGCCAGAGGCCTCAGTCAATCGTTCATCCAAGACAGCAACTTTTCAACCTTCAGCGTTGGGACTATCACGGTTTTTCCTAACCAAACCGAGCTTCAGGGCATGCTGCGGCCTATAGCAGCAGGGGCTGGTGCAGGTATAGGCATGGGGGTCGCCATCGGGTTGAACTTCAAGCCTGCAGACTCGAAACCGATACTGGGTGGTAACATCACTGGGGATGATGAGCAGACAGCTTTGACCGCAGAAAGTTTCACGCAAAACATCTTCTCTAACCTCCTTACAAATAGCTCGGCTATTCAGCAAGCCAAACAGTTCATAGCGAGCAATCCGCCTCAGGCGTTCCAGAACATAGATGGCGCCAAGGCGGCGGAAGGCTTCGCTAGAGGTACCATTGAAGGAGTTGTAAGCGCGATGTACTCTGTCGGAGGAGTGAAGAACTTGATAAGTGGCAATGTCCCGAAAACCGCATACGACGAAGTGCCAGTCCTGGCGCCGACACAGTTCAACGACAGTGTAAATGGCTCGGCTGTGGGCTTTGCACGAGGTCTTACTGGCAAGGCGACGATCCTGATTGCTGAGATTGCCAGAAATCTCACGCAAGGCATGCCGAAATCCGAGACACGTCCATCACGTACAAGAAGTATCGAAGAAGCACATGAGGATCTCAGTGTAGGTAAGATATTGCCATCCAATGCCTTGTTGCACACTCTGATACGTTGCAGTGACATACAGCCCACTTTCTGTCCGCCAGGCCGAAGCGCAAGCTAAATTTCCTATTGCTATCGACCCAGAGACAGCACAGATGGGCGCTCAGAAAGTGATCGAGACCTTCACATGCTCAGGAATTGGTGGCATTGCAGCAGCAGCTTTGGGTGCTATGACTGCGGCCAAAGCGAATGCTAGTATGATGAGTATGGCAATGGGCCAAGCTGGTCCACCTCTCGACTCGACGGTTCTGCAAGCCTTACCTCGAGGTCCTATCGTCCTTTCATCGGAGGGAAATATGTTCGAGATTGTCATTGAGAGTCAAAGTCTCAAGATAAATGGGTTAGCGCTCATTCCCTTTGCAGTCATCACAGGACTACACGGTAAGCTATGGGATGATTTTCATGTGTCATCTCGAGCTTTGCAACTAACCTATGCGTATAGTACTATTTGCTGGTCTCGCTTTCCTTACATTCCTTCCACTATACCTTGTCTTGGGAGTAGTCTGGCGATTCTCGGTCCTCACCGGCTACCCAGTCGACGAAGCTAAGAACAGGAAATGGCGCATGGGGTTCTTGATCACGTTCGCTGTCCTGGGCGTGGTTGGTATTATCCTTGGTATTGCTGGTATGGGAAGTGCAAGTCATTTCCGAGATACACATGGGGTAAGCTCCTTGTACTGATATACTTTGAGAGGTCTGAACTCATCCTTACCTGCAGATCATGGGTCTCGTCTGTCTCATCTTCATCTTCCCGGCAGTTGGCTTTACCATCGTTCGCTTACGAACCGAGCTCCCGCACCCTGATCCTTCGACATTCGCCGGCGTAAAAGGTCCCATAGCGCTTGCCAAGACGCCGCAACGCATCTACCTCATTAGCGGTATCAGTACCCAACTCTTATTAGGCCTCGGCCAGCTCACCTTCTTGCAAGGCTTCTCTACGCTGCGCGCAATATCACTTTGCATCGTCGACGCGGTTCTCACCTCCACAAGTGTCGCTGGTCTTGTGAGCTTCGTGCTGATGATACAGATCAGTGCTACAGCGTTAGTTGGCATCAGAGCATGGCTAGAACAGCATATCGCCAAGAAAGAAGCATCAGGTATCAAACCAATGACTGCTACTGGGTTTGGAAGTCATGGACGGAGCGACACAATAGCCACATTTGGTTTCGATCGGAAAGATCCACCACCCGCTCTCAACTTCAAATCCAATAAATCGAAGCTTCCACAGAGAAAGACGGATGAGCTCAAGGGCTCTGAAGACAATGGCATCAGCACACCGTTCAACTTCCGGAAAGAAGGTAGCATGACTGAGATGGATACACGAGAAGACCCTTTCCTGTCACCCGAAGAGCGACTCAACTACCAAGAGCGAGGTATCTATAATCCCAAGACGGGAGGCTACACCTATCCGGCCCAGGGCATGGACAACGATGACTTCTACAACATGTCAGCGACTTATGGAGAACGCCGCCCATCATCAGGCGTATTTGATCCCTTGCGATCTCCTCGTCCCCCAATCGCAGCAGACAACGGGCCAAGAATGACGGGTGTTACAGTACAGGATCTATGGCCTCCGCCAATGCCGGAAGCGTCGAGAATGTACATGACCTCGAAGACTCAAACGACTGTCAGTAGTAGGTACAGCAGGCCGATAGATGGGAATGTGCCGGTAAGGGATAGCTTCAT